TCCAAGCTATAGCGAACGGTTAATGATAAGGAAGAAAAGAAGCAGTGAGAGAAACGCCTTTGGTGAGCTCATTACATCCTTCTTACCCCCCCCCCCGAGTGATTGCCACGATATCAACTGTATATAATTCAAGCATATTAAGATGCCATTCAATGCTGACCTTTTTTCAGATTCGATGGCTTCTCCATCCGGAATAACTTCCTCGGAAGGTGGGACAACCTTTTCCTCGACTGGTTCTGCGACCACTGTAGATGTTGATGGTTGCTCATCATCCGACAAAACACTAAACAAAAGCGCCAAATACATTTCATGCAGGTAATTCAATATATTTGATCCTCTCTACAAGTTTGTTTAGATTGGGAATACGTGATCGAGTTCGCTGTACAAGTTCTTGAGGGGCAGAAGCTATAGCCTGGGGCTGAAAGCATACTAATCTAACCTTGGGGGTAAGGGGAGCAAGATCAGCTTCCAGGAGTGAGAAGATAGGAGGTCGGAATTGTATTTTCAGGGTATCTCCCACCTTTGAGCTGCCTTTGAACCGCGCATTTAGAGAGAGAAACAAGCGACTAGAAGAAGGAAAAACATTAGGGATGTGGGAATTGGAAAGCAGGGAATCCGTAAAAGGGAAATCATTTATGTTTACCTGGGAATCGGATAAATGAAGAGGGATGAGCGCAAGAGATTAGATACGTATCGACTAATCCCGCTAAAGAGAAGAACTGGACCAGGGAATCGGAGAGTTGAAGATTAAGACGTCCATATTTTGCCGCCAGTGAGTGAGAGTGGGAGAAGAAGAGAATCGGGCTAATTGATCTATTCTCCAAACAGATCGATACCTATATTTTCTTCTAGGTGCATTCTCCCATTCCCCGATTCTACTGTTCTCCCAATTTGCTATCGGGATCGATCCATTCCTATATAGCCCTCTCTGTTCTGTGGAGACCAAACCATCCATCGCTATCTATCCAAGGGTGCGTTGTCAGTCCGCTACTCTCGAGAAATGGAGAACCACAGGGATGGGAGAAGAGACGAGAGGCCGCGAAAAACGGAAGTAAATCTCTTTATCTGGAGGCGAGAGAATTGGCGAAATAAAAACCCGCAAAAAGCCATATACTCGTGTATCGACTACCCTGCATATATAGAGGATTGCAGTGTTCGAGAATCAGAGAACTATAGAGTTGGGGAGCAAGGGAACCAAAGACCAATCAAAATGCATTTTAGCACCTTGTGGCAGTGGAAAGTCGGAGGATATGTGAAAAGGATACGTATCTGTCTGGAGGTTCTGAGAACCTGCGAAAAGGAAAGCATGCATGTAGACCGATGTTCGATCCTCCACGTGGGGGACCAATCGACATGCATCTAATACTTATCGCAAATGTTACGATTCTCCTATTTCCGTGGTTCTCGGATTCCTCGTGTCGCAAGGTGTAAACGCGGCTTTACTCAGAAGCCTTATCTCACCCAAAACTGGATTCTTCTTCAAATGGCATGAGAACATCCTCATATCTTTTCGGGGATTTTACTGCTCTCTCGTCTTCTGCTATAGGAAAGAAGGAAGGGCGCAGTTCCCGTTGGCGATGGGAGCAGTTTGCACTTCCGCTACTTTCTACAAACGCGTCGAGCCATCAACTGAAGATTTGCGAAATTTCATAAGCCATACACCAATTTGAGGGTTGTAGAGACCACCTATCAACTCGTGTAGTGCAATGAACACGACAATGGGCAGTGACGAAAGTGCAAAATGCCCCTACCACAAGCCAACTGCTCCCAAAAGTGTTCTCGTTGCAGGATAATGTTGGAGACCAACAGATGGCTGCTATTACACGCTGCGCTAACGAATGAGTCATATAGCATTCATCACCAACTTTTTGTGGACAAGGGTAATCACAGCTGAGCCTTCGCTCAGGTTTTGTACTCTTGCAGACCACACAGATCTCAGGCCAGTTGAGAACAGCACAGAAATAAACCTTCCAATACATTGTTCTCCTCCGGAACCAAAGTTCAGCTTTACAATGTTAAAAAAGATTACAACCTACACTTCTTCCGGCTCGGGACTACTCGTTCTGCAAGGCTCATGTTGAGGAACATCCGGCAATCTCATTCCCATGACCACAGCAGGCCGATGGAGGAGGAGGAACTTCTCGAGCCGTAACACGTTCCTTTGGTTTGGGCTTCTTCGGTTTCACTGCTTCCATTCTACTTAAAAACCGTATAAGATAATCGAAAATAAGTCATTGTCCGCAAGAGAAACTTGTTTAGAAACCTATCACGGGAAAAAGGAAACTGGTTAAAAACTAGTCACAACGACGAGAAGATAATCCAGCCGTCGAATGAAATGTCTGCTACACCACGCACTACTGCACCAACAGTTGCATTCATTTCGCAAAGTTATGATGAAACTTCGATGGTTATTTATGTAAAAATTAATGTTTCTTGCTATTATTCTACTCTCTGAAGTCGCACTCATGCTAGGTGACATCGCAAACGGGACAATCGTTGAAGGTGGAGTTATTTGTAACTTTGAAGCACGGATTAGATCGCTATATGGTACTTTAGGGAATTTAAAAATTACTTTTTGCTAGTCTATGCAAATACATAATGAGTGATTACTACTGGCTAAACATTAAAATCACGCAGAAGTGAGTTTTCAGCTTGATTCCTGTCAACCCTGAAATCTTTAGGGATCGGCAACGATGCGCTCGCTTTGTTTACCTTAGTAATGGTCAGCTGTATAGCATGTATCATCAGCTATTTCATGAGGTAGTTTTCTAGCCGTTTCGACCTACAGATCTTTGAAATATTTCGACCTCTTTTCAGACAAACCAGAGTTGCTCAGATCCATCCGGACCTGGCTGGAGATGTTCAGGGATTTCGAGATTCCTTCGCCCGAGGTCACAGCGGTCGAGTGAATGACACTAGGGTAGGTCACATGGTCATCTTAGTGCCGTTCTTGGTTCGTTATTCCTTTGCGAGTTCGTTACGCCTCGATATTGCGGTTCGAAGAGCTTACAATCGCAGGGTCATTGTACTGATCAATAGCAGTTGTGGGTCATCACATCCATTTTGCGGCTTAACAAGCGGCGTTACGGTCGCAGCAGTCGCATCAGGATCTACTGCTCAACAGAAAAAACTATGAACCTTACACTGGCACTCTTCGTTCCTTTAGCGAAAAGGCATAGTTGCGTGAGTAGTTGAAAGCGTTTTTAGCGCTATCCCAGTAGGGTGGCGCGTTCTCCTGCAGAGCACCTATTTCGACGAAAGACTTGGTTTACCCACCCATAGCTCCTGCATCCTTAGGCTTGTTCGAAAAACCTCATCCCTCTGGCTCTCTCGTTTCTTCGTGTTTTCCACCATTAAATACTTTGCTCCAGTGCGCGTATCGCGAAGAATCGCAAGGTCGATTCCCACGTCAAGGCCGCGAACTATGAATGCCCTCCTCCGAAACGGCAGCACACTTCATCGCGTTGGCGTGTCCATAGTCTGTTTCCTGCAGCTGATGGCGAATTCTATGTATTCTGTTTCCTTTGACGTGATTCCCAATCACCTTTCGAACTCGAAATTATGCGTGAGACAAATTAGTTTGAGCTCTATCTGAATATCGAGTTCAGTCGCATCTCGCCGATGAGGGGGCGCGGTGAGGCGGGATATGTTTGGCGTGGCACGCGTTCTCCACTAGTTGTTGAAGCGGGTGAGCAACAACAATCTTTGGAAGACGGCTGGTAAACGTTATGATACTCGCTTTTCGCTTGTTCGCTTCAGTGCCAGGTGGGAGACGGGATTGGCAACACATCTCGCCTGACCACATATTTCTCCCACAGTGAACAAGATTGGTAGTACCTATTGTGTGGTCGGTTGTTAAACTTTTAAATATTAGTTGTCCATTTTTGCAGACATGGGTAGAAGACTTGATCACATGCATTACCAAAATATTCCGTTCCAGCGGGTAGAAGTAGAACGCCCCGATGCAGTTCATACGTGTCCCATCTGCTACGACAACGCCCTCTTCCCTACACTTACTAACTGTGGTCATGTTTTTTGCTGTGAGTGTTTACAATACCTTTACCGAAGGAGTGATAGGAATTTCTGCCATTTGAACTATTCAAGCACAAAACTTGGTTTCAGGTGAATGCATAATGGGCTACTGGAGACATTCTTCTTCGTTGGTTTCTCCTGTGAAATGCGCTATTTGTCGCACTGAGGTCTGCAACTATCTCTTTCTATAAAATACGTTATTTATTGACTTATAGATCACGGTTCTCCTCCCTGTTAATTGGCCGGTTGATGAGGAAAACAGTCGTCTCCGAGAGAACAACATTGGTCTGAACGACTACAACAGAAGGTTTTCCGGAGATCGACCTGTTCGTTGGTTTTTCAGGATTACAGTCGTCTTTGTGGCGTGCTTAGGTGATTTGTTGTTACAGTGGCTGGAGTATCTATGGGATTTGCCGGTGTTGATTCCTTATGTAATACGAAGTCTTTTCGACTTTAACGGTCTTATGATTATGTTCAGGTTGGTGTGCTATTGAATACAATTACCTTGATTTGGGCAGCGTTCATACGTTGCAAATAAAAATCAACTTGGGATACGCCCAGGCGACGACGAAAGACTGTGCCACGTTCATACTTGGCAACTGACCTGAGGGAAATCGGCGATTAAGGAGATCCATCCACCCCCTCGGCGCGCTCTCGCCCTAAAGTCAAGTCGCGCAAACCGCCGGATTGCCAATTCTTCAAAGTCGCCAGATTGATGGCTATAGTTTTCTTGTGCGCAATCGCTCTAATCTCTGAGTCTCCCAAAAACCGTGACCTTAGATGTAAATTGTTCAATCCCGTCCATTGACTCACTCTGACTCTCCTTCCAAGCCGCGTTTTTTTTTCTGAAACGCTGAGGGGCGGAGTCAGTTGACTCCCATCTACTACATTGACACAAAGGTTGATACATATATCCCTTTCCCGCATCTCCCAAATCACGGGCTCACCAAATCGCGGATTCTTCCCATTCTTGGAGTATGAATGCGACCCTTAGCCCGACACCTCAAAATATTCCATTTCTCAGGTTGAGAGTGGTCTTCATCGCTCTTGGCATATTCGCCTACGTTCTATCTCCATTCGATATAATACCTGAATCGGCCTATGGACTGATTGGTTTGTGTTGCCTCTTTTCCAGTAATGGCAGTGTTGTAATTACTAAATCCACCGTTTTGCAGGCTTGATAGACGACTTGTTCGTAGCCGTCTTGCTGTTAGTTTATATAGCAATCGCTATTCGCCATGTTATGGCTCGACGAGGTGAAGTCCCACAAGAGTGATGGCAGTTTTTTGAGTTCTTTAGTCAAAAAAACACTGGTAGATTGTGTTCAGACTTCTAATTATTTGGTAATAACATGAGTCTTATGGCTTGTTGTTGAATTAAATTGTATATTTGTACGTTGTTTTCGCCTGAAGATACGAGTAATAAAGTATTTTACAGTATCGATGTTCTAGAACGACCTTAAGAGAATGGTTTAGCATCCTTAGTTTATCCTTTGAGTCATCTACTTTGCTTGCCGTAAACGATTCTGCAGTTGCGTACTTGGCCCATGCATTGATTCTTGATATTTGATGATGATGCCCTTGTATTTTAAGCGGTGCCTTTTACGGCTACCACCTAATCTCACATTTTCTTGTCAGTTTTACTGGTAAAAATGTCAATGAATAAATGATAGGAAGATGCTAATAACCTCGAAAGGGGAGGGGGATGCTGCACCTGTTACTGCATCTTAGTTTGTGTGTCTTTGTTTTTCTCTCACCTTTTCACAGTCGTGTCTCACCCTGCGATTCCTGTGAACTCCTATCAAGTACACGGTGAACTCCTGTGTCAGGCTTGCGGAAATGTTACCCGTGGGAGTCATTGGGACGCCACTTCTTCCCTTTTTCTTCCAATTTTGACAAATTTGTCAGGACATCGGAGTATTTTGCTGGTCTGGAGTCTCTTTTTTACCTGAATGTATAGTAACAGTGTGAAACTCCAAATTTCGAATAAGTCAGAAAACACCAAATGTCGTATTTTTTTTCAAAATCCACCAACCATTTCAGTGCCAGTACCTTGAAATTTTTTAACTTGTTGTTTAATTAGGCAATACCAACTATACAAATCTAGCATACACGAACTACTCCCCCGAATCAATCCTCTTACCCTGTAGTCACGAAACTATTTCTTTGGGCCTGCTAGTTGGCAAATAAAACTTACGGGTAGATGCACTGTAGCAGCCATTCTGAGCCAAGAGGTTCAAGTGCCATTCAAATTTTTGCCACTAAGTGAAGATCCGGCCAACATGGGAATGCCCGGAGCCCTAACGAAACTGCAACAGGTCGATTCATTTGGCGCTGGACCAATTTCCTAAGCGATTCCATAGGAACGTGGTCAGCTTCTATCTGAGTATCTGCTTAACCTTGATAATGACCCATTAGCAGTGCACGGGAACGCTGCAGACCCACAGATGGTCCATTAAAGCCGTTGCTTGACTTAAAGACAGACCCCACGATTCCATATTGGAAATAGTGGCGTTCAAGTGCAAGCCCTGTAGTCAGCGGACCCTGCGACGGCGCGGGACTAGCGCTATGGAGAAGAAAGAAGAAAAATTGCAAGCCCTGTAGTCTCCGAATAACTCCCCAAAGAAGAAAAACGTAAAAAATAAAATCACAGAGAACACTCTAACTTCTAAAGACCGCC